ATGCAGCCGCCAAAGGAGACAGAAACTGGAATGTTACCAGCAGGCATCAGCCTCATGGTAATACACAGATTAATAAAAATGGGTTAATTTAAGGTGTAAAAGTTAGCTAAAAACACATCTGAATCATTGTCCCAGCAGTGTTGTGATTAAAAGAGTTTTGTGTGATTATTCAAATCTGGGTAGCTTGGAATGGAAGAACTGTCTCCAGTTACACGCAACCATGAAGTAATTTCTATGCTACTTCATAACTGCAATTTTAGTACAAATTGTGATGTAAACTCCTGTGTTTTCTGACGGCAACTCCTATGAAAAGGGTCATCCAACTCCCAAATGGACTGCAACCCACAGATTGAGAACCACTGCCATAAATATGTTTTTCTACATTTACAACTGGTTGAGAGAGTATATGACATACAGATTTCTAAGATCAGTGTCCACAAGTTAATTTTATCCAAACACAACCTTTTATACAAATATCTATCATCTACGGGTGCTGGAGAGAAGGCTCAGAGGTTAAGAATACTTACCAGCTGCTCTGCCAGAGGACCCAGGGTTTGATCCCCAGCATCCACATGGCAGCTCATAACTACCTGTAACTTCAGTTCTGGAGGAGCCTACACCCTCATCTAGCCTCCATGGGCACCAGACACACGACACAGATGCAGACAAAGCATCTATTTTAAAATAAAATAATTTAAAAATGCAGTATTTACAACCACTTTCATGATAGGCTAGTCAAATTGAATGGCTTCAAGAAAGATCATTTGACCCACAAATCCAGTCATATTTGCTGTCTCGTCAATTATAGAAAATGTGCTGACATCTTGTTTAGGAGAACACTGGCCTCAAAGGCATGTTCGCCTGCAACAGTCCCCTTCAACTCTTTCCTGCCTCTAGAATAACAGCTCTTCACTCAGCAAATTCCACCTCTCTTCACTCCCACAGCCTCAGTCACACCTTTAAGAAGATCATTGCGCTTATGTAGTATGACGACCTGACCCAAATCAGGCATCCAGGGAATCACAACTGTGGAAGAGACTGACTTTTCACCCTCTGGGTAGTTTCTAGGGAAAAAAAAACCAGGCTAATGATAGTTGACTTTGGAATCATGTAATTTGTCATTTGCCAATAATTGCTGTGACCTCTGCTGACATTTGATGACTATATTACACATATTTTAGATTCATTTAACTTAGGATATCTTCAATGAAATTCATGTTATCCATTCTCAATGGATAAAACTTGAGGACAAGAGCCTCAAGAGCAAGCAGAGACTAGCTTGTTAATTTTCAACACTAAGATTAAACTGATAGTTGTGTAAAATCATGTCTTCTACACTGAATATAACAAGAAAATAGACAGATGCTGGTGCTGAAAAAAAGAATAGGTTAGTCTGCCTATGTAGAAGTCTGAAGACATACCCTGATACTTTTTAAATTCAACTAAAAGTGGTGTTTATTGGAAGACTTTACACACCGAGCAATAGCCTAGATCTCTAGCTGACACAGGGATTAGTAATGTCCAGTTCCTGTTCTGGAAGGAGTCATAGTTTAGAAATTATATAAGGCGTAGAAAAATATGTGTGTACAAGAATAATTAACCAAGTTAGTTGCAAATCAAATAATTAGTGATGGATATTTCTTTCTAGTACATTTGTAGGTACTATGATTTTTCTTTTTTAATTGATTAATTAAAAACATTCCTTTCTCATTTTATATACCAATACTAGTTCCCACTCCCTATTCTCCACCTGTTCCCTCTATCTTGCCCCCATCCTCCTATCCACTCCTCAGAGAAGGTAAAGTTTCCCATGGGGAGTCCATAAAGTCTAGCACATCATTTTGAGGCATGACCAGGGCCCTCCCCACTATATCTTGGCTGAGCAAGGTATCCCTCCAAAGAGAATGAGCTTCAAAAAGCCAGTTCAAGAACTAGGGATAAATCCTGATCCCACTGCCAATGGCCTCACAGACTTCCCCAGCCATACAACTGTCATGTACATTTAGAGGACCTAGCTTGATCCTATGCTGGTTGCCCCACTGTTAGTCCAGAGTTAGTGAGCTCCCATTACCTAAGGCAAACTGTTTGAGTGGGCATCCCCATCATGGTCTTGACTCCTTTGCTCATATTATTGGTCCTCCCTCTATTCAACTGGACTTTGGGCTTCACTGTGGATCTCTACATCTGCTTCCATCAGTTGCTAGATAAAGATTCTATGATGACAATTAAGGTAGTTACCAATCTCATTACAGGAAAAGGTCAGTTAAGTCACCCTTTTCACTATTACTTAGGGTCTTAGCTAGGGTCATCCTTGTGGGTGCCTGGGAATTTCCCTAGTGCTGGATTTCTCCATAGCCCCATAATGGCTCCCTCAATCAAGATATCTCTTTCCTTGCTCTCCCACTCTGTTCTTTCCCCATCTTGACCATCCCATTCCCTCATGTTCTCCTCCCACCTCTCCTTCTCCTCTCCTCCTCCTACAGAACCTGGAAACAACCTAGATGATCCTGAACCGAAGAATGGATAAAGAAAATGTGGTACATTTACACAATGGAATACTACTCAATGGTAAAAAGAAAAATGACATCTTGAAATTTGCAGGCAAATGGATGGAACTAGAAAAAAAAAGCATCTTGCATGAGGTAGCACAGACCCAGAAAGACAAACACAGTATGTTCTCACTCATAAGTGGATATTAAATGTAAGGCAAAGGATGAGCCCAGAGAAGCTAGGTAACAAAGAGAACCCTCAGAGAAAATGCATGGATCTCCCTCAGAAGGGAAAAGATCTCCTGAGAAAATTGGGAGCATGGAGTTAGGGAGAGAAGAGAGGATGGAAGGTGATTTTTCTTTCTTTACCAGTGTTTTCAATTTTCTAGTTTGGAGACTGAATTAATGGCTGGGTCAGTAAAATGATTAGCATACAATTATGAATATTTGAGTTCAGATTCAGCACCTAAGCCCCTCCCCAACAAAAAAAGACCAGGCATGGGCATAGGGTGCCTGTAATCCTAACATGGGGGAAGGGCAAGATTCCCCAGAGCTCACTGGCCAGACAGTATAGCTGACTTCAGTGAGACCCAGTCTCAAAAGATGCAAAGTCATCAAAGAAGATGCCTGACATTGATCTCTAGCTTCTCACAAGCAAATACACACACCTTTGTGAGCAAGCACACACAACTTTTGTGTCTTCTATTTTTTATATAATGTTAATAATAACAAAGTGGTTTGAAATATTATAAAATGTTATGGTTGACAAAACTATATAATCAGAATAGGTAGATAGTTCAGTCAGTAGCATGCTTACCTCAAAAGCAACAAGACAAGAGTTTGATCTCTAGAGTCAATGAAAAATACTGGGGGTGATAGAGCATGCTGCTAACCCCGAAGTTAATTGTGAAAAATAGTAGTTCACTAGAGAGATACTGCTAAACGGTAATCCAAGTGAAAAAAAGATGAAATAATAATATATGTTGAAGTAATTAACACCAGAGGGACATAAAAGTAAATATATATGTATAGAAACAATGGGATTTAAAAAAAGCCACAGGCACGATCAGGAGGAACCTAAAAAAAACATGTTTCTTCTTGCTATGTTTATATGGTAGTTAGACAAAGAGATGGAAAGAGGAGCCTCTCTAGGCAAATACTGGCTCCCAAGAGCTAATAAAATCCTAGACGTCACCTTGGCTGGAATCTCTTACATTAGACTAGTTTAAAGTGGGTGCATCTGACTATGTAATATTTCAGGTTTCTTCTGAACATCAAATTCCATGATTACTTTACATTTGGATTCTCATGTCATTCCATTCAACTTTTATTAAAGTATACATCTTTATATACAACATTACACAGTTGGGTGTACACATACACACACAAACACACACACACACACACACAATTTTATTTTTTTTTAAAAAAGCCTTTCTGCAAAGTGTCCTAAAGAGTTCGACAGGTGGGGCTGGTACTAGCCCAGATTTGGGAACTACTATTGCAATCTCCAGTTCACATGTAAGGAAGTAAGAAGATAAACACCTAGGAGGTGGAGATGGAGAAGGAGCTGGACTTGTTTAGGAGTGAACTAGGACATCTCAAAGGAAGCAGCTCCTCCCTAGGATGGACCGTCATTGTCCCTATATAAAGGCCAGTGTTTCCAATGAGCAGCACCCTGCAAGCAACATCAGTCTCCATCCTGCTGTTCCGCTGGTGACTCAGGTAAGTGGACAGCCATTCAGTTCTACTGACGATAAATACTATTAAATACTATAGTCCAATTTTATAGTCTTATATATTATATAGTCTATTAAATCCTAAAGTCCACATTATATTCAAAAGCTTACGTTTTAGTATATTATGATAGACTTTTATATAAAACTACTCTGTTTATAGTACCTACTTGAGATCTTTCCTTGAGAGTTTAGGAGCCTAGTAAGCCCTTGGCAGCTTGTCTCTTTTTTCTCTCTGCTGTATAAGCAGAAAGCCCTGAGAAACAGTCCTACTTGAAGAATGAAAATAGAAGCTGTCTGATAGGAGCTCCCTCAGCTCCTATCACCTAACCCTGCAGTTGGCTCTGCTCATTTTTTCTACTTTCTTTATCCTGGAAACTGAAAATCCAAGTTAGCCACCTGGGCTCTTTGGGTAGATTTAGGCACAGAATATAAGTAACATGTCTTTCCCCTGTACTGTGATGGTTGAAACCTAAAAAGAACTAAGGCGTGGATGGATTAGCACATTCAGGTTTTCTATAACCCAACAAGGAAAGCCTCCCCTACAACCATTCAGGAACTGAAATAAGACATAGGGCACCTGCTCTAATTTCATCACTCTCTTGCTACATAGCTGGAACAAGTTATTCGACTTTGAATTCATTCTTAACTAGTATAGAAAGAAAATTAATCATGGCTGATAATTATCACAAATGACTAGAAGTAGTTATGTGTTTAAGCACTAAGAGATCAATCTCTTCTTTCCCAATCTAGCTTCACTTGAATTTGCAACAAGATGCCTAAACTCCTGCAAGGTATTGTCACTGTCATCGAAGTTTTCTACCAATACGCCACTGAGTATGGGAAATGTGACATGCTGAGCCCAAAAGAGATGAAAGAACTTCTAGAAAATGAGTTTCGCCAAATTCTAAAGGTAAAAACTCTACATCAGTGCTAAGAACTGAAGAAATTCTCTAGTTTACCCTACCTTTTGTTTATATGTCAAATACCAGAGAAGACTCTCCTATTTGGTAGTAGAGAACTAAATTTGGCAGACTTTAATGTCATAAACAACTGACTAATAATGTTTCTATAACATGATTATGTTAAAATGATTCTATCAAACAACAGGCAAATTCATATACTTAAAAATTTCTTGTCTGTGAGAGCAATTCTTATGAACCACAGAAAATGTGCAAAATAGATTGAATTCATATTCTTACATTTTGTTTTCTTAGTTCAAGAAAATGGCCTTGAACTCCAGATGTTAGTGCCTCTACCTACAGAGTGATGAGATACAGGGCATGTATCATAATGTGCAGTATAACCATTGAAATCATTCTCTGCTTTAGACCCTTCATAATACAGAGCTATGTAGACAGCAGTAACACATACCCCGCCAAAATTGTTTTAAAATCTGTAACTAGCAAATTAACTAAATGGACAAAAATTATATATAATCCATGCAGGTGTCTACAATTACTATTTCTACTTTAGCTAATGAGCCTTGATTAACTATTGCCTATTGCCCTTTTCTTCCTTCCTTCCTTCCTTTCTTTGTTTCTTCCTTCCTTTTTTTTGACAAGGCTTTACTTTCTATCCAAGGAACTCAGGAACTTGTCATGCTACCCATGCTGTTTTCAAACTCAGGATCATACTTCCCTGGCCTCCAAAGCACTGTAAACTGTTATCAGCTACTATCTTTACAAAAAAAAAAAAAAAGACCACTTGCTTGCTTCAACCTTTCCATTGCATCCCCTCCTGGCTAATTGTACTTGTCAATTTACTGCTTGACTATGTGCTGGCTCTCTCTCTCTCTCTCTCTCTCTCTCTCTCTCTCTCTCTCTCTCTCTCTCATCATAGTCAAAAGAACTATGCAGTCAATTTAAATCTAATTTATTAAATATTGACAGCCTCGTCACAAGGGTTAGCTTGTTTTACAATCTATAGTTACAGAGCCTCCATTTGATTGAATTTCATTACAGAATCCAGATGATCCAGACACGGTAGAAATCATCATGCAAAGTCTGGATCGAGATCATAACAACAAAGTGGACTTTACTGAGTATCTTCTCATGATAGTCAAGCTATCTCAGGCTTGTAACAAAATTATTGGCAGAGATTACTGCCAAGCTTCAGGGTCAAAGCAAAGAAATCACAGTCACCAGCAACAAAAGGAACAGAGTGAAGAAGAAAACGACGACAAAGAGCAGGATGCCTCTTCAAGTTCTTCAAGTTTTAGTGCAGGAGAGAATGATGCTTATTCTAGGGATTCACGAGGAAGAAATCAACACAAATCTGAGTCAAAATGTAGAAAACCAAGGAATGGGAACCAACAAGGTTCTGAAGAAAGAACAACTTCAAGTCACTTCAAAAACAGTGAGAAATATGAACAGGGACAACATGGATCAGAAACAACCCACATGCCTAGGGAGAGCAGAAGATGTAATTCAAAGGAATCTTCTGGCTACCTTCAACATGGCTCTGGCTCAGGACAGTCGGCTGGCAAGAGTAAAAAGGGTTCTGGCCAACAACAGCACTATGGTAATAAAAACCATGATATACAACCAAGAGAATCATCAGGTTGTGAAGGAGGGCAGTCATCAAGGTCCGGGACACAGAACTCAGGATCAAGCCAGTCATCTAGCCAGAAGAGAAATAACTTTGGGTCAGGAGAGTCTTCTAGTGTAGGTGAATATGGCGCTTCTTCTGGACAGCGGTCAGGATCTATAGGAAATAGATCTGGACAAGGACAGTCTTCTGGAAGTACACATAATGGCACAACATCAAGACAGTCATCAAAGTGGAAGTCACCTTCCTCAGAAAAGCATGGATCAACGCAACGTAATTCATCAAGCCAAGAAAGGAACAGGTCTAGCTCAAGGGAGTCTTGTGGCTCCCAACAATCTGGGTCTGGCTCAGGAGGGTCTTCTGGCTTTAGTCAACATGGATCTGGGCAAGGTCAGTCTTCTGATGGTAGCCAACAGGGTTCCTTCTCTGGACATGGACAACATGGCTCTGGTTATACTCAGTCATCCAGCTATGGGACACACAACTCAGGGGCAAGTCAGTCTTCTAGCCAGAGTACAAGTGGATCTAGGTCAGGACAGTCTTGTGGCTTAGGGAAATATGGTTCTGCATCTGGAAACTCTTCTGGCTCTGGTATGCAAGGATATGGACAAGGTCATTCTTCTCATAGTACACAGTGTGGTACATCATCAAGACAGTCATTGAGCCATGAAAGAAACAGGTCTAGCTCAAGGGAGTCTTGTGGCTCCCAACAATCTGGGTCTGGCTCAGGAGGGACTTCTGGCTTTAATCAACATGCATCTGGCCAAGGTCAGTCTTCTGGTGGTAGCCAACAGGGTTCTTTCTCTGGACAGTCAGGAGGTAGTCATCAGCACAGCTCTTCCTGTGGTCATTCCACTAGCCATGGTCAGCATGGCACTGGCTTTGGTCAGTCTTCCAGCAGTGGGACACACAAGTCAGGTTCAAGTCAGTCTTCTAGACAGAGAAGAAGTGGCTCTGGGTCTGGACAGTCTTCTCATTTAGGGGAATATGGTTCTACATCGGGACACTCTTCTGGCTCCACAGGGCAAGGATATGGGCAAGGACAGTCATCTGGTACTGGACAATGTGGTACTTCTTCAGGACATTCATCAAGCGGCAGCTCAGGTCAGTCCACTACCTATGGCAAGCATGGATCAGGAGTGAGCCAGTCTTCCAGAAACAGCAGTAGCAGATCAAGCTCTAGGGAGTCTTGCAACTCCCAGAACTATGGGTCTGGCACAGGAGGGTCTTCTGGCTTTAGTCAACATGCATCTGGGCAAGGTCAGTCTTCTGGTGGTAGCCAACAGGGTTCCTTCTCTGGACATGGACAACATGGCTCTGGTTATGGTCAGTCATCCAGCTATGGGACACACAACTCAGGGGCAAGTCAGTCTTCTAGCCAGCGTACAAGTGGATCTAGGTCAGGACAGTCTTGTGGCTCAGGGAAATATGGTTCTGCATCCGGAAACTCTTCTGGCTCTGGTATGCAAGGATCTGGACAAGGTCATTCTTCTGGTAATACACAGCATGGCACAACATCAAGACAGTCAACAAGCTTTGGCTCAGGTCAGTCCTCTCTCTCTGGCAAGCATGGATCAACTTCACGTCATTCATCGAGCCAAGAAAGGAACAGGTCTAGCTCAAGGGAGTCTTGTGGCTCCCAACAATCTGGGTCTGGCTCAGGAGGGACTTCTGGCTTTAATCACCATGCATCTGGTCAAGGTCAGTCTTCTGGTGGTAGCCAACAGGGTTCTTTCTCTGGACAGTCAGGAGGTAGTCATCAGCACAGCTCTTCCTGTGGTCATTCCACTAGCTATGGTCAGCATGGCACTGGCTCTGGTCAGTCTTCCAGCAGTGGGACACACAAGTCAGGTTCAAGTCAGTCTTCTAGACAGAGCAGAAGTGGCTCTGGGTCTGGACAGTCTTCTCATTTAGGGGAATATGGTTCTACATCGGGACACTCTTCTGGCTCCACAGGGCAAGGATATGGGCAAGGACAGTCATCTGGTACTGGACAATGTGGTTCTTCTTCAGGACATTCATCAAGTGGCAGCTCAGGTCAGTCCACTACCTATGGCAAGCATGGATCAGGAGTGAGCAAGTCTTCCAGAAACAGCAGAAGCAGGTCAAGCTCAAGGGAGTCTTGCAGCTCCCAGAACTATGGGTCTGGCACAGGAGGGTCTTCTGGCTTTAGTCAACATGCATCTGGGCAAAGTCAGTATTCTGGTGGTAGCCAACAGGGTTCCTCCTCTGGACAATCAGGAGGTAGTCATCAGCACAGCTCTTCCTGTGGTCATTCAACTAGCCATGGTCAGCATGGCACTGGCTCTGGTCAGTCTTCCAGCAGTGGGACACACAAGTCTGGTTCAAGTCAGTCTTCTAGACAGAGCAGAAGTGGCTCTGGGTCTGGACAGTCTTCTCATTTAGGGGAATATGGTTCTACATCGGGACACTCTTCTGGCTCGACAGGGCAAGGATATGGGCAAGGACAGTCATCTGGTACTGGACAATGTGGTACTTCTTCAGGACATTCATCAAGCGGCAGCTCAGGTCAGTCCACTACCTATGGCAAGCATGGATCAGGAGTGAGCCAGTCTTCCAGAAACAGCAGTAGGAGATCAAGCTCTAGGGAGTCTTGCAGCTCCCAGAACTATGGGTCTGGCACAGGAGGGTCTTCTGGCTTTAGTCAACATGCATCTGGGCAAGGTCAGTCTTCTGGTGGTAGCCAACAGGGTTCCTTCTCTGGACATGGACAACATGGCTCTGGTTATGGTCAGTCATCCAGCTATGGGACACACAACAAAGGGGCAAGTCAGTCTTCTAGCCAGCGCACAAGTGGATCTAGGACAGGACAGTCTTGTGGTTCAGGGAAATATGGTTCTGCATCTGGAAACTCTTCTGGCTCTGGTATGCAAGGATCTGGACAAGGTCATTCTTCTGGTAATACACAGCGTGGCACAACATCAAGACAGTCATCAAGCTTTGGCTCAGGTCAGTCCTCTCTCTCTGGCAAGCATGGATCAACTTCACGTCATTCATCGAGCCAAGAAAGGAACAGGTCTAGCTCAAGGGAGTCTTGTGGCTCCCAACAATCTGGGTCTGGCTCAGGAGGGACTTCTGGCTTTAATCAACATGCATCTGGCCAAGGTCAGTCTTCTGGTGGTAGCCAACAGGGTTCCTTCTCTGGACAGTCAGGAGGTAGTCATCAGCACAGCTCTTCCTGTGGTCATTCCACTAGCTATGGTCAGCATGGCACTGGCTCTGGTCAGTCTTCCAGCAGTGGGACACACAAATCAGGTTCAAGTCAGTCTTCTAGACAGAGAAGAGGGGGCTCTGGGTCTGGACAGTCTTCTCATTTAGGTGGATATGGTTCTACATCGGGACACTCTTCTGGCTCGACAGGACAAGGATATGGGCAAGGACAGTCATCTGGTACTGGACAATGTGGTTCTTCTTCAGGACATTCATCAAGCGGCAGCTCAGGTCAGTCCACTACCTATGGCAAGCATGGATCAGGAGTGAGCCAGTCTTCCAGAAACAGCAGAAGCAGGTCAAGCTCAAGGGAGTCTTGCAGCTCCCAGAACTATGGGTCTGGCACAGGAGGGTCTTCTGGCTTTAGTCAACATGCATCTGGGCAAAGTCAGTATTCTGGTGGTAGCCAACAGGGTTCCTCCTCTGGACAATCAGGAGGTAGTCATCAGCACAGCTCTTCCTGTGGTCATTCAACTAGCCATGGTCAGCATGGCACTGGCTTTGGTCAGTCTTCCAGCAGTGGGACACACAAGTCAGGTTCAAGTCAGTCTTCTAGACAGAGCAGAAGTGGCTCTGGGTCTGGACAGTCTTCTCATTTAGGGGAATATGGTTCTACATCGGGACACTCTTCTGGCTCCACAGGGCAAGGATATGGGCAAGGACAGTCATCTGGTACTGGACAATGTGGTACTTCTTCGGGACATTCATCAAGCGGCAGCTCAGGTCAGTCCACTACCTATGGCAAGCATGGATCAGGAGTGAGCCAGTCTTCTAGAAACAGCAGAAGCAGGTCAAGCTCAAGGGAGTCTTGCAGCTCCCAGAACTATGGGTCTGGCACAGGAGGGTCTTCTGGCTTTAGTCAACATGCATCTGGGCAAAGTCAGTATTCTGGTGGTAGCCAACAGGGTTCCTCCTCTGGACAATCAGGAGGTAGTCATCAGCACAGCTCTTCCTGTGGTCATTCAACTAGCCATGGTCAGCATGGCACTGGCTCTGGTCAGTCTTCCAGCAGTGGGACACACAAGTCTGGTTCAAGTCAGTCTTCTAGACAGAGCAGAAGTGGCTCTGGGTCTGGACAGTCTTCTCATTTAGGGGAATATGGTTCTACATCGGGACACTCTTCTGGCTCGACAGGGCAAGGATATGGGCAAGGACAGTCATCTGGTACTGGACAATGTGGTACTTCTTCAGGACATTCATCAAGCGGCAGCTCAGGTCAGTCCACTACCTATGGCAAGCATGGATCAGGAGTGAGCCAGTCTTCCAGAAACAGCAGTAGCAGATCAAGCTCTAGGGAGTCTTGCAACTCCCAGAACTATGGGTCTGGCACAGGAGGGTCTTCTGGCTTTAGTCAACATGCATCTGGGCAAGGTCAGTCTTCTGGTGGTAGCCAACAGGGTTCCTTCTCTGGACATGGACAACATGGCTCTGGTTATGGTCAGTCATCCAGCTATGGGACACACAACTCAGGGGCAAGTCAGTCTTCTAGCCAGCGTACAAGTGGATCTAGGTCAGGACAGTCTTGTGGCTCAGGGAAATATGGTTCTGCATCTGGAAACTCTTCTGGCTCTGGTATGCAAGGATCTGGACAAGGTCATTCTTCTGGTAATACACAGCGTGGCACAACATCAAGACAGTCATCAAGCTTTGGCTCAGGTCAGTCCTCTCTCTCTGGCAAGCATGGATCAACTTCACGTCATTCATCGAGCCAAGAAAGGAACAGGTCTAGCTCAAGGGAGTCTTGTGGCTCCCAACAATCTGGGTCTGGCTCAGGAGGGACTTCTGGCTTTAGTCAACATGCATCTGGGCAAAGTCAGTATTCTGGTGGTAGCCAACAGGGTTCCTTCTCTGGACAATCAGGAGGTAGTCATCAGCACAGCTCTTCCTGTGGTCATTCAACTAGCCATGGTCAGCATGGCACTGGCTCTGGTCAGTCTTCCAGCAGTAGGACACACAAGTCAGGTTCAAGTCAGTCTTCTAGACAGAGCAGAAGTGGCTCTGGGTCTGGACAGTCTTCTCATTTAGGTGAATATGGTTCTACATCGGGACACTCTTCTGGCTCCACAGGGCAAGGATATGGGCAAGGACAGTCATCTGGTACTGGACAATGTGGTTCTTCTTCAGGACATTCATCAAGCGGCAGCTCAGGTCAGTCCACTACCTATGGCAAGCATGGATCAGGAGTGAGCCAGTCTTCCAGAAACAGCAGAAGCAGGTCAAGCTCTAGGGAGTCTTGCAGCTCCCAGAACTATGGGTCTGGCACAGGAGGGTCTTCTGGCTTTAGTCAACATGCATCTGGGCAAGGTCAGTCTTCTGGTGGTAGCCAACAGGGTTCCTTCTCTGGACATGGACAACATGGCTCTGGTTATGGTCAGTCATCCAGCTATGGGACACACAACTCAGGGGCAAGTCAGTCTTCTAGCCAGCGTACAAGTGGATCTAGGTCAGGACAGTCTTGTGTCTCAGGGAAATATGGTTCTGCATCTGGAAACTCTTCTGGCTCTGGTATGCAAGGATCTGGACAAGGTCATTCTTCTGGTAATACACAGCGTGGCACAACATCAAGACAGTCATCAAGCTTTGGCTCAGGTCAGTCCTCTCTCTCTGGCAAGCATGGATCAACTTCACGTCATTCATCGAGCCAAGAAAGGAACAGGTCTAGCTCAAGGGAGTCTTGTGGCTCCCAACAATCTGGGTCTGGCTCAGGAGGGACTTCTGGCTTTAGTCAACATGCATCTGGGCAAAGTCAGTATTCTGGTGGTAGCCAACAGGGTTCCTTCTCTGGACAATCAGGAGGTAGTCATCAGCACAGCTCTTCCTGTGGTCATTCAACTAGCCATGGTCAGCATGGCACTGGCTCTGGTCAGTCTTCCAGCAGTAGGACACACAAGTCAGGTTCAAGTCAGTCTTCTAGACAGAGCAGAAGTGGCTCTGGGTCTGGACAGTCTTCTCATTTAGGTGAATATGGTTCTACATCGGGACACTCTTCTGGCTCCACAGGGCAAGGATATGGGCAAGGACAGTCATCTGGTACTGGACAATGTGGTTCTTCTTCAGGACATTCATCAAGCGGCAGCTCAGGTCAGTCCACTACCTATGGCAAGCATGGATCAGGAGTGAGCCAGTCTTCCAGAAACAGCAGAAGCAGGTCAAGCTCTAGGGAGTCTTGCAGCTCCCAGAACTATGGGTCTGGCACAGGAGGGTCTTCTGGCTTTAGTCAACATGCATCTGGGCAAGGTCAGTCTTCTGGTGGTAGCCAACAGGGTTCCTTCTCTGGACATGGACAACATGGCTCTGGTTATGGTCAGTCATCCAGCTATGGGACACACAACTCAGGGGCAAGTCAGTCTTCTAGCCAGCGTACAAGTGGATCTAGGTCAGGACAGTCTTGTGGCTCAGGGAAATATGGTTCTGCATCTGGAAACTCTTCTGGCTCTGGTATGCAAGGATCTGGACAAGGTCATTCTTCTGGTAATACACAGCGTGGCACAACATCAAGACAGTCATCAAGCTTTGGCTCAGGTCAGTCCTCTCTCTCTGGCAAGCATGGATCAACTTCACGTCATTCATCGAGCCAAGAAAGGAACAGGTCTAGCTCAAGGGAGTCCTGTGGCTCCCAACAATCTGGGTCTGGCTCAGGAGGGACTTCTGGCTTTAATCAACATGCATCTGGCCAAGGTCAGTCTTCCAGTGGTAGCCAACAGGGTTCCTTCTCTGGACAGTCAGGAGGTAGTCATCAGCACAGCTCTTCCTATGGTCATTCAACTAGCCATGGTCAGCATGGCACTGCCTCTGGTCAGTCTTCCAGCAGTGGGACACACAAGTCTGGTTCAAGTCAGTCTTCTAGACAGAGCAGAAGTGGCTCTAGGTCAGGACCGTCTTCTCATTTAGGGGAATATGGTTCTACATCGGGACACTCTTCTGGCTCCACAGGGCAAGGATATGGGCAAGGACAGTCATCTGGTACTGGACAATGTGGTACTTCTTCAGGACATTCATCAAGCGGCAGCTCAGGTCAGTCCACTACCTATGGCAAGCATGGATCAGGAGTGAGCCAGTCTTCCAGAAACAGCAGTAGCAGATCAAGCTCTAGGGAGTCTTGCAGCTCCCAGAACTATGGGTCTGGCACAGGAGGGTCTTCTGGCTTTAGTCAACATGCATCTGGGCAAGGTCAGTCTTCTGGTGGTAGCCAACAGGGTTCCTTCTCTGGACATGGACAACATGGCTCTGGTTATGGTCAGTCATCCAGCTATGGGACACACAACTCAGGGGCAAGTCAGTCTTCTAGCCAGCGTACAAGTGGATCTAGGTCAGGACAGTCTTGTGGCTCAGGGAAATATGGTTCTGCATCTGGAAACTCTTCTGGCTCTGGTATGCAAGGATCTGGACAAGGTCACTCTTCTCGTAGTACACAGAGTGGTACATCATCAAGACAGTCATCGAGCCATGAAAGGAACAGGTCTAGCTCAAGGGAGTCTTGTGGCTCCCAACAATCTGGGTCTGGCTCAGGAGGTTCTTCTGGCTTTAGTCAACATGCATCTGGGCATGGTCACTCTTCTCTTAGTGGGCAACAGCATTCCTCGTGTGGACAGTCATGTGTCAGTGGTCAGCATGAATCTAGCACTTCTTCCTCATCTAGCAATGGGCAAAGTTGTTCACCATCCAGACAAATACCATTTTCCAGGCCTCCCCATTGTAGCTCACGTCAGTCACCTAAATGTGATCAGCATGTTTCTACTTCCTGGCAGTCCTCTAGCTATGACCACCAAAGGCCTGGGTCATATCATTCTTCCTCCTGTAGTAGTCAGGGGAATACCTGTGGAGATTCTTCCAACTTTGGCCAGTATGGATCTGGCTCAGTTAATTGTTCTGGCTATGGTAATCAAATATCTAGTTCATGTCAGTCTACTTACCCCCACTATGGATCTAATATAAATCAATCTTCTAGCTACGGACAGTCATATTCTCATGGTCAGTGCAGATCTAATTCAAACCAATCTTCCTGCTGTGGTCAACAAGGGTCTGGTTCAAGTCAGTCTTCTAACTATGGCCAATATGAATGTCCCTCGAGTCATTATTCTAGCCAGAGAATACCTGCGGCTGGGTGTAATCAGGGTTTTAGCTCTGAACAATATGGGTCTTGTTCATATCCCTCTTCTATCTCTACTCAAAATTGTCCCAGAACTGGTCTGTGTCCTAGTTCACAACAATACAGGTCTGATTCACGTAACTCATTTAGCTCTGGATCATGTGGTTCTGGATATGACCAATATTCTAGTTATGAGCAACCTCAATCATATGGGAGATGTGGAAACCACTTGGAATGTGGAAACCCCTCAATTTGTAATGAAAACCAACCAATAAGTGTGTATAGGCAAGTAGAAACCTCCTCAGCTTGTGACTTTGGACAATTTACACCTCCACGTGGACACAGTAGATCCCATACTACTGGACAATTGTCACTTTACAATGCGGACAATAGACAAGGTGACCCTGACTATCAGAGCATCAGGGAAGGAAACTCTGGAATGAGAAATATAGGCTTGGGTTCTTACAGTTTCAATAGCAGCACTCCCCTTTATGAGTATGTCCAAGAGCAGAGATGTTAATTCCAGAGTGAGGAAGGAAATGAGCTACCATTAACTTAAATGTTAATTTAAGAAATGAGAAATTGTTGTAGAACTCTTCATGTCATTTCTTTCTCAATCTGGACATATCTGCTCTCATTCTTTTCTTTTAAATGAAAGGTAGCCTATATTCCTTGTTACTGAGTTCCTCCCAAATAATGCATGATATTTGGGATACTTAGGATATTGCACTGGATAAATGCTTAGTTTGGGGAATAAGTTTGAAGACTAACTTAAAAAGGTTGGGGCTTAGTGGGATTAAGTTTGGAACAATTTAAAGAATATGGGGTTTGGTTAAGGTATCTATCTGAAAATTATATTTAGTTGGGGGTGATGCTAAAGTTGTAATAAATTATACATTTATTGGTAAAGAACTATATATAATAAATGTATTATCATTGCAGTTGCCAAAGCTTTATCTTATGTCAACACACAGTTTAATCTTTAATGTTAGATGGTAAGAGAAAGAGGAAAAAACAGGACAGAGTATTAGTGGTTTCTATTTTTACCCAAATCACCAAGATACTTCTTTGGTACATTTTAAATCAGTAGGTGAATAAGTGCCATTAAGTTTTTGCTTCGGATGCTTCTCTATAGCCATTGGAAAAGTGGTACAGGACCAAAGGATCCAAGCATGGGTTTTAACTTGATTTCAGCAAGAAAGAGCTTCATTCCCATTTGTAAGAAATTGTTTCTGTTTCTTTTGACATCTTACAGTATGGAAATATAAGTAGTGTACTCTCCCCCTGTGGAGAGATATCATCAGTAGTCAGATGGGAAGGAAGCTTACCATTGTCATAGGATTCTTTGTTTGACTGTAATGTATTTGCTTTAAGTCTTTGGATTCAAATAAGTAGATTGCATTGATATTGACAATAAATTAGTGGTGATTAGATACTGAGCTTTGTCTGTCTTTTATTTCATTTCACTTCCTTCACACAAGTGTTCAAACTAGAAACCAGCACAAGTAGCTATTTCCCAAAGTCCCATAATCCGAAGACTATCCAGATAGAAAACTTAAAAGCTCCCAATACTCCCTTCCTCTATATTCTCCCTACCTGATCGTCCTGTTCCCATGCCCACTCCCATCCAGACCCCTCCCCCAATTCACCTATGATGTCTATTCTATTTCCCCTTCACAGTGAAATTCATGTGCACCCTCCCACCTTGAGCCTTCCTTGTTACTTAGCTTCTCTGGGGCTGTGAATTTTAGCATGGATTTCCTTTACTTTATAATTAATACCTACTTATGAGTTACCACATACCATACTTGCCTTTCTGGGTCTGGGTTACCTTACATAGGATGATCTTTTCTTGTGCTATCCATTTGCCTGAAAACCTCAGGATGTCATTGTTTTTAACAGCTGAGTAATACTCCATTGTGTAAATGTACCACACATTTTCTTTATCTATTTTTGGTTGATAGACATCTAGGTTGTTTCCGGTCTCTGGTTATCATAAATAAAGTTGCTATGAGCATAGTCAGGGAGCATCTTTGGGATGAAGCAGAAACCTAGTGCAATGGAAACTCCAGGAATCTATGAGGGAGAGCTTAGCTAAGACTTCGAGTAATGGGGGATATGAAGCATGAACCGGCTGTCTCATGTAACCAGGCACAACTTCCATGGGTGGTACTGGGACTGTGACACAGCCACATAACCTCTGACCTCCAATTTACCCTCCTACAAGATGTGCTGGGGTAAGAGTGGTGCAGAAATTATGGGAGTAGCCAACTAATGACTGGTCCAGCTTGAGACTCATACCATGAGACAGAGTCCACCCCTGACACTGCCTGGAGGGACAGGACCCAGAGGCTGGACAGCCCAGAGACCTGGGAGAGAATCAAATGTGACTGGCAATAAAAGCAAAACAATGTCAATGAAATGATTCCTAAGGCTATTCTACTATACACTATACTCTTAGGTTGTTGTCTAGCTCAATTGTTATCAAAGAGGCTTCACCCAGTTTCTGATGGAAACAGATGCAAAAACCCACAGCCAAACATTAGGAGGGGTTCGGGGAATCCTGTGGAAGACTGGGTAAACAAAGGGTCAAGGACATCACAAGAAAACTGGAATCAACTAACCTGGGTGCATAGGGGCTCAAAGAGACTGAAAGGCCAGTCAGAGAGCTTGCATGGGACTGACCTTCTTTACATATTGTAAGCTGGGTAGCTTGATCTTCTGGTGAGCCTCCTAATATTGGGAGCAGGGGGCTGTCTCAGACTCTGTTAACTGTTTTTGGGACCCTTCCCTCCTACTGGGTTGCCTTATCCAGCCTTAATAAGAAGGGATATGGAAAGAGGAAGGGGGAGGGAAAGGAAACGGGAAGGGGAAGGAAAAGAAGGGGAAAAGGTGGAAGGGAAGGGAAGAGAAGGGAAGGGAAGGGAAGGGAAGGGAAGGGAAGGGAAGGGAAGGGAAGGGAAGGGAAGGGAAAGATATAAAGCCCTCCAGGACCAGGTCATACTCCACATATTGTGCCCTGACCTAGCAATGATGAGTCCGCCTGACCCCCTTCTACCAAACCCTCACCATACCCAGCCCAGATTTCACACCAAGTGTCCCAGACTAGTCTGGAGAGTCTTATACCATTCTCAATCCCCAGGCATGGCTCCAGTGGCAAACCTTATGTGCCAGGCCCAGGTGTTGAGTTCACCAGATTTTATCCTACACATGCTATATTGAACCTCCAGACTTAGCCTAGGTCACACATCCTGTATGCTAGTCCAGTCTAGCGAATCTCCTGGACTCTATCCCAGCCTGTACTGCATCCAACCTTCAGGCCTATCCTGGGATATGTATCTGTGTGCTGCCAAAGCCTGATGAGTACCTATAACCTCAGATGTTCACTTTATCCCCAATCCTCAGGTCAATCATCAGTCACATAGTTAAAACCCTGGAAAATTGCATATCCAAACCTTCAGCTTAGTTCCACAGCCTCTACGCCAGCCTATGAAGCTGAATGCCGCCCACGCATAGAATCCACATATTCCCAGGTAAATCTTGAGTAGTACGGGTTGCACATCAATGAGATCCAGTCATCTGTCTCACTCACATATTTTCTTGCTTAATATAGAATTGGACTCAGTCTAAGAAAAAAAAATCAACACTGATCTGAAAACAACCAAGCTTGGACAAAAGCAAAATAAAACTAATCTCACATCAGACATACAACCAACAACATGCCAAATCTCATCACAAAAACACAAACAAGAAAGGCCAAGACAGTCTGCCTACAAATTGAAGATAAACAAGATCATCAGCACCTGGACTTAACTAAACAAATGAAAGAAAGAACCCAAATGAATAGAATCAGCAATGATCAGACAAACATTACAACAGAAACCAAGTTCAGAACATTATAAAAGAAAATACTTCTTAAAAGTATTTTCTTTCTTGAGATTACAATACAATTACATCCCTCTTCCTTTTTCTCCCAGCTCCAACCCTCCCATATACCCCCTCCTTGCTCTCTTTCAAATTCATGGCCTTCCCCCCATTAATTATTGTCACATATATGTATATTGTGTGTGTATGGACATACATGTATATATATATATATATATATATATATATATATATATATATATATTCCTAAATACATAAATAAAACTTTCTCAATGTGTAAGTGTTGCTTGTACATATATTTTCAGGCTGACCATTCAGCACTGCATAACAAATTGGTGTGATCTTCCCTGGGGACCACTATCTCTCCTGCTTGTAGCTCTCCTCAGTTTCCTGTAACTCTTTGTGTAAGACTGAGCTCAGCCTTGGGTCTTTCCCCTGTCCATATTTGCAAGTCTATTACTGCCCCTTTCAGCTCAGGTTTAAGCAGTCCTGCTGGAGAGTCGTTTTGAGTGTTCCTTCTGGCGTTGCTAGGAGACACGATGTCACCTCAAGCTTTTACAGTCCTTCTGTTCCCTCTTCCATGATGCTCCCTAAACCTTGGGTACAGAATTGCTTTGAAGATGGATCCATTGGGACTTGATAGGTTTTGGTTTCCATAATTGTCTCCATCTGTGGCACAAAACACTTTCCTTGCTGAGGGGGCAAGGGTTGTATTTACCTGCAGGCATGAAGATAAATATGATGTAGTTCAGAATGTTTTAGGAAAGCTGAGGTCGGAGGGTCTCCTCCAAATTCTCACTTTTTCTATGGGCTTCTACTTCTCTTGTCTAGAAGCTTGTTCTATGAGGTCCCACCTGTCAACTCTTGATTCCAATTCCTGTGCAAATGGGATCCTTTTCCGAAAGTCCTCCCCTACACCTCTATTGTGTGGGTACTGCCTAGTTTGGCTCCAGTAGCTTCAGCATTTCATGTTTAAGTCTTTGATTCTTCCTACTCAGCAGCGTATGGTCACATCTCTAAAATAAGATCATGTCTTCTGACATAAAACAAATTCTTACAAGTTCAAAAAGTTTGAAGTAGTTTTGCTCATCCTATCTGACCATAATATAATAAAATTTAAAATTGACAGCAAATAAGTTTCTTGTAAATACACAGATCCAAAGAGATTAAATAACTCATTGCTGAATGATGAATGGGTCAAAGAAGAAATTAAAGAAAGAAATAAAAATATTTGAGAACTAAATGAAAACGACAACACAACAAAACCTCTAGGATGCATTTAAATCAATCCTATCAGGTAAATTTATCACTTTAAATGTCTATATTAAAAATCAGAACGAGCATAAATTTAAAACTTAATGATGCAACTCAGATTTTGGAAAAAAGTAAGAACTAGCCAAATCCAACACCAGTTGATGGCAAAAAATAATAAAAATCAGAGCAGAAATTAATGAAATAGAAATGAAAAAAACACAAATAATCAACAAATGTAAGAGTTGGTTTTTTGAAAAAATAAATAAGATTTACAGACCCTGTCCCAACTAACCAAAAGAAAAAGTGGACCATCAAAAAAAAAACAAAAAACAAAAACAAAAAGCAAGACATCAATAACATAAAAAGACACACAACAAATGA